AGTCATATGTTGTTTATTAGAATGTTTCATAAACATGTTGTTTTTAGGCAAACTGATATATTATGTCTAAACTTATTTAATAAGTTTTCCATGTCATTTAAAAAGTAACTTCATAAATACATGTCATTTCGCTTTGCATTTTGTTTTATTCCAAAATAAATACGTAGTATCTCATTTTATCTATTTAGACCTAGCTAACATGTCTTGTACTCTCGCTTGGACTTGCACATTTGATAAAGTAGTTGGAACTTGGAATGCAAAACAAAAACAGCGTAGTTGATATTTGAGTGAAAAAATTAAAATTATATTGCCTCCGTTATTTCTTAGTTGTAACATTGGTGAATTTGATATGGAACAAAAAAAAATCACGCTCAGGTTTAGTTCATTACAATACGTGTGAATAGCGGTTAATTTTTCAATCCTAAACTAGTCATTTTTCGGGTGGAATTATTTGGAGGAAATAATTTAAAGGAATTTTATCAATTCAGGACCCGAAAGATAGATTAATTATCAATTCAGGACTCGAAAGATGAAACGTATTGGTATAGGACCCGAATGATGGAAAACTATCAATTTAGGACCTAATATTTCATAGGTTTTGATTTATTTAATTTTTTATAAAATCCATTACTAATTTTTGATAAACTTTTCTTCACAAAAGTTTATTAGTTTAATAAAACTAATTAATATTTTAAATTTTTAAAATAAAAATTATAATAAAATTCATGACAACTTAGGTCCTAGATTGATAGTTTCCAATCATTCAGGTCCTAAATTGATAGTTTTTCATCATTCGGGTCCTATATCGATACGTTTCATCTTTCGGGTCCTGAATTGATAATTAATCTATCTTCCGAGTCCTGAATTGATAAAATTCCTAATTTAGGTATCTCAAACTTTGAAGTGGTGTGATATAAGTAACCAAAACTTGCACATGTAATATATATACCCCAAACTTTATATAAAAGTTATGTTAGCACCATGATCATATATTGTTCACAAATGTAATTTTATGGTGTTAAGTACATAATTTAAAATACACAAAACATTTATGAGAATGGAATTAAAATTAAATTGTACTGGTTGTAATAATATTTTCTCAAAAATTAATTTTAGAATGTTAACTATCAAATTATAAATAGCTAAATATGTAATTATTCTAATACATTTGTATTTGTAAAAACATATGCATTTATGGTGCAAAAATAACTATTTATATATAGTTCAGGATATATATATTATATATGCAAGTTTATGATGTTTATCTCATACTCTATTAAGGTTAGGGGTATTTAAAATATTTTCCAAAATGTTGATGAACCAAAGTGCGATGAAGCAAATGGTGATGAACCAAAATGTAATGAAGAAAAAGCTGATGCAAATGATGAAGGAGAGGAAGATGTAATGGAAGAAAGAGAAGCCAATGATAACACAGATGTTGGCACTGATGCCCCCGGTGATGAAAATGATTGTGAGGAACAAGTTGAAGCTACAAATGAGGAAATGAATGCAACTTGAGTGAAAGGAGATGATGTTGTGACAACAGGTGGTGGTGATGATGATGATGATGAAGCGCAACAAGGCAATGAAACTATAGGAAATGCATATGAAGATGAGGGACTATTTGATGTGTCAGTGGGTTCACACCATACTTCCACACCCATGACAGAAAGTCTTTCAATGGAAGAAATCAAAACTCGACAAACTTTGCAGGGCACCACACTAATACATAAGAAGAAAGTATGGAATGTGACCCATCTAACCCACGTAGCTAGAATTCTGAAGAAGGAGGAGGAGGAGGAGGAGGAGGAGTAGGAGGAGGAGGAGGAGAAGAGGAGGAAGAGGAGGAGGAGGAGGAGGAGGAGGAGGAGGAGGAGGAGGAGGAGGAGGAAGAGGAGGAGGAAGAGGAAGAAGAAGAAGAATGTACCCCCAAAAGGGCACCTACCAGACGTGCTTCATATAACCTTGAGTCTGATCCTCCCCATATTATGGTGGGAATGTTATTAGAGGACAGTACACAATTTAAAAGTTTTATTATTAGATATGATGTGTATCACAAAAGAGATATAGTATTTGTTAAAAATGAGCTAAAGGGAGTCAGACTTAAATGTGCCATAAATTGTCCTTTTTTTTGTAGTGGTAGTTAGGAACAAAGGTTGAAATGTTTTCAAGTGAAGGTTTGATGACACTTATGAGGATAAAGAGGTGAAAGGGGGAGGGGGAGTATATTTTAACCAAGAAACGGGTAATATCATTTTGGAAGTAAGTTCAAGTCCAATTTAATGTTTAATGTTATAAATAACTTGTGTGTAATCTTACCTCATTGAAGTTTCAATTGTTGGGTGTGTTTCGGAAAACTAAAGAAAATTAATTAAAATAAATTAATTAAAATGACGAAATAAAAACAAGAAAGGAGATGGAGCAGAATTTAACCAAAGCTCGTGCTACACACGATGTCCTTAAAACGTATATGTTGCCTCCCACTGTGCTAGGAGTGTTGCAACAATCATTTCCCAGGATACGATGACTACGAACTAATGTTTGAGCACACAAACTAAAGTTCCAGTGAACGAGAACACACTATGAGCACAAAAGGAAATTTTCAGAGAGACTGGAGGTGCTTTAGAGCTGAGAAATACGTGAGGAATGTGTATTAGCGTGTAAGATCGTGTGCTGTTGCAAACCACCTGACAACCATTATATAGGAGGATTTGTTGTGTGTAAATGGTGAATTAATGGACCTAAACGTTGGACATCATTAACCAGTCTGTTGGGCATTGAATCGTCCATGAACTGTCCATTTAACGCTGCATTAAAAGATAAGAACATTGGACATTAATTGTTGTAACGGTTCACCGCTGGGAAAAAATTAAACGTTTCGGGAAGAAAACAAAAATTAAACTGCAGGTCGCCCGCGCACGCAAGTCGCGGTTTTTCTTCTCCGATTTCGGGATTTGATTTGTATTCATGTGTATTTTGCTTGAGCAGTTTTATTTTGTGAACAAAAACATGGTGTATTTTGGAAGTAATGGCATGGCCTTTTTACTATAAACTTCTGAATGAATGATGCCAAAGTGGAGTTGTGGTTTTGGTTAAGTTTTTGTATTCTGAATTCATGATTTTCTCCTTTTAATTGGTTAAGTTAGATGTTAGTAAGGATATTTGTAGCAAAGGACCTCAAAACAGGAAAGATATTCATTAACAAACATCATAATACTTCAAACCAAAAGACCTTATTAAGTTAGATATTCGTTCAACACTTGCACATATACGCCATAGTAGAAATCTTAAAGAACTACAATTATATATGCATTAATCAAATATTCATAAGTTACCCAAATACACTACAAATAAGAAAATATGTTGCTTATTGTGACCCAAACACACAACACAGTACACTTGCACTATAAGTGACCTAAACACACTACACTTGCACTATATATTCATAACAACCACCGAGATATTCATTAAGCAAATATTCCAGCAACATCTTGCTACAATGACATTACATAAGTGACCCAAACACACTTACACATAACCGATACATAACCAGTTCTGTCATTACAAAACATGATTACAACCTCAAATGCATACTTCCTACTAAAGCAAGAAGAACATTCATAGCTAATCCATACAACTTCCTATTCTTTTTGTTCACCTTCGCCTCATTTTCAACTGTAGTTTTAACGCAAGCAACATCTTTCTCTACATGTGGTAACGGTCAGACAGGGCCTTCAACCAATATTTTGACTTCATCAGCGGTTTCTTTCTTCTCCTCGGCCCTCACAATCTCTTCCTTCTCTTCAGGATTCTTCCAATTCATGAACATATATAATTATTGCATGTAATGAATAAGATAACACACTGTAATTCAAAACGACACAACCAAATCATTCAATTGCCTTCCATTTTAACACCCACAAAACATTCTCCCACTCTCCCATCCAACGCATAGAGGGGCTTTCAATCCACCCCAATAATATACACAGGAGGCTCATAGTCCATAGTACGACTTTGTTCTTCTGTAATCATTGATGTTGATGAAGATTACATTATTGTGACGGAGAACACGAATATCGCACGGAGGGGAGGTCGAAGAATTAGGGTAGAGGTTGAAATGAATTTATGTTAAATGGTGAGGAGAGGGATATTAGTAAGCAATACATGTCACGTTTAGTAGCCGGGTAAATGACCTCCATGTCAGCGTCCAGGTCAGCGAGAGACGGGGTGACCACCTGCTTACCGGCTAATAAGTCAAATTGGGTGTCTTTTTAAACATTGCGGAGTTAATTGGGTGAGTTTGCGAGTAGGAGGGCTTATTTGACGAATTGATCACAATAGGATGGTCTATTTGACAATTTTCTCATTAATGTTTTATTCTAAACAGTTCATATATAGATGGATATATATAAAGCATGTTTTTTGAAATTGAAAAGTTAGACAATCAAACAGTTTGAGATTTTTTATTCATCTACTTTACTTTTAACTAATCACTTCTCTGTTGCTAATGAGTTTTTCTTTGTAAATTGGTTTTTACTAATTGTTAGTTATTTTTTATTTGTTAATGGTCGTCGCTTAATATTGCACATTTTTAGTAACAAGTTATTCAAAATAATCGAACTGGTGTGATATAATCACTAATTGTATCAATTGCTCATAATTTATTAGAACTAAATCACTATAACATATCAATCCTTTAATTGGTTCTCCAAAAAGCCACATATCACAAGCCTAGTAAGATGTCAATAGTTACTGCATGTAAATACAATTATGTACGGGCAGACTCTAGTAAACTAATAAATAAATTAAAATGTTAATTTTTGTATCTGCGTACAATATGTGTTTGCATCTTACCACTCCATTGTACTAGGTACCATTTGAGTAAACTAAATATAAAAACACAGTACGTCTCAAGTTTATTGTTTTGTAACACCATTTTTGTAAACACATGTTTAAGAGAGTTTCACCTAAAATATGCATTAATGTTAAAACAAATTCTGCAAAAATTCTCCATTGTTAATGATGGTCGATACGAATTTGAGGTAATGTTAAAACAAATTCTGCATGAGAAAAGGGAAAACGTTTCTACCCACATACAACTTTTACTCTCTTTTCCTAAGCCCTGAATTATTCGAAAATAAGAATTGCCTAGATAACCTATATTACATACATGAGATAATATCCAAGGACTGAGCATATCCTAACACGGTTAGGATTTCACTGCCCCATTCTCTGTGACTCTGTCATAAAACAATGTTCGTTTGCTTTTGTAATACTCATGTGTTTAACAAATCAGCGACATATGAAGTTCAATGCAATTTTAGAACAGAGAATCCAATCCGCGATCCTATCAGGGGGAGTTTTCGTCAGAAATCATATCCATCCGTTCTACAAGAAGCATTTGGATCCTCACGTTGACTCATATTCGATCTTTGAACTAATCGAACAAGTGCTTCCACCACTTCAGACATAGGTGGTCGAAATTCTGGTTCCGCCTGAAGTCCAAAAATTAAGAAATAACAATAACAATTTTAAAAAGACAAAATAAAACCATAAACTTACATGAGTAAATGGATAAAGTTTTTTGGTTGCCAAATTACTGAAGTCTAACCTGAACACAGAGAGCAATGATATCTGCAAACCGAGAGATGGATTTGGGAGGATATAATCCTCTAAGCGCAGGATCAACCATTCTCTCCAGTGCATCAATGTCATGAAGCTGTGGGTATGCCCATCTCACCAGAGCATGTTCTGTTCTTGGCTTTGAACTGAATCATCCACATTCATATTAATATATTCAATCATTGTATTCAATAAATATAATTATTGTGAAATTAATGAACGTTTACTACAACTTTATTCCACCCACATCCACCAACAAAATTACAATTTTGTAAAATTAAAATGCATCAATACTCCTCCGTATGTCCCGTAAATTTAGGTCCTTTATTCCATTTTGGACCGTCACCCAATATAGTCCAGTTTCATATTGAGAATTTCATATGTAATCAAGTATTTATAACAACGTAGCTAGAATATGCAAAAGCATATTCCCATCCACGAAGTGTTAACTGCATCTTTCACCATTTATAGTCCACCAATATGGACTTCTATCGTTAAGCTTCCGTAGTAAGGATCAGAAGAGTCAAACCCATCATTAGATTGCATAAGCAATGGCTGGAGGCATGTCTATCGTTAAGCTTTCGTACATCAGTTTCATTTATGCTGATTTACAGCTTCTATCATTAACTACTACTACTACCCTGACACACTAAGACTGAGACATGAGGAAGTGACATGATTATTAAGAAATGTGGAATTCCAATGCAAATAAATATATGCCTATCTTTTTGTGAAAAAGGATTTTTTTTACCAAAGTAGTAAAAAAAGTGTTCAGTACTCCTATCTATCTGTTAGAAAGCACTAATTATTAATGAGTGCGTGGGGAGATGGTGTACCTGTCATGAGGCTTTCGTCCCGTCAACAACTCTAACATAACAACCCCAAAACAGTACACATCGCTCTTCATTGTGTACTCAGAAGGTTTTGAGCATTCAGGAGGACTATATCCGGTTCCAAGATTATGGTTTGTATGCTGTAAGTTATAGTGTTTATGTATAAGATATGCTAGTAAAGAAAAAGATAGCAATATAGTAGTAGGTGAGTCATTAAATTTATCTGAAAAAGTTCTAGACACGATACATTAAAGAGAAATAAAAGATTATTGAAATGGATTGAATCATACACAGAAAGAGCCCAAAATGTAGTTAAGCTAAAAAGCCATCAGTAAATCATTCATTTACCCCGTATGTTTTTCTTCGTATATACAAAATGAAACATTGAATAAATAAAGATACTAAAAGTATTCTTTTTATATTTAATAATAAAATCAATATGATGTTCGTGATAATTTTACGATATTACTCTTTGTGATGAGACATGATTAATGCATCTATCCTAACTCATCTTTGTCTCGTGATTTTCCCCCATGCAAGTGGAAAGAGTCTATGATGAATCAGTGATGACAATTTTGGAACTTCATCTCAGTGTTCCTTCTTAAAGAGGTTGGAAAGGATATCTGACAGTGTTTGTGTAAAATACTTAAATGGAGGAGGCAGATACATTATACAGACGAACAAATTGAATGTTCAGTATTAACATGAATGATAAATACAAAATAATCAAAGCACACAAAGGGATTATAATTTTTCATATAAATAATTTTACACAGTGGTATAAATCACACAAAAAGAGAGTAATGGACCAAAAATGTAATCAAGCTCAGCACCAATCTTTTAATACTATTACGGACTTTTTTTTTGAAGTAATACTATAACGGACTTACGCACCTCATAGAGCTTTTCCAAGCCACATTCAGAGAGATGAGGGATTAGTTCAGTGTCTAGCAAAATATTAGATGACTTTATGTTCTTGTGTATGCAGGAAGGTGAACAAACCTCATGCAAGTACCTGGAATCATATACAATGTAATTAACAAGGATGAAAAGTCTATATAATAAATATCTAGTTGAGTAACATGGAACAGTGAATGGCCCAATGAGAAACTTGTCAATCCAGACTGAGTAACTGGCCAAGACAGAAGGGGAATGGGGTCAACAACTAGAGTATGCTGAAAACGGAGGTAAATTTTTATGTTTTCTAAGCTTCCTCTATTTACATTTACCTTGAGAATCAAATTACTCACAAGAGAGCCTAGTGAATAATACATTTATCAGTAACCTCATGTATATTGTAAACACAAGGCATTTGTTAATGCAGGAAGCAAATATTACGAAGTTTATTTTTCCATCTGGGTCTGCCCAAAAGATCAGTCTAGCAAGGTCAACCTTTTCAAAATATATATGAAATACTTATGTCCATAGTCTATCTAGCTGTTTTTAACTGCCATCACATATCTCCAAGAGTAACGGTGCATAAAATGTAAGGGTAAATTCAGGTACCAGAAAATGCTAGAGAAAGGAAACAAAATGCCAAGCTATTTTCTTTTATTTGGTTTTACCTTGGAAAATACAATCATGAACTATGATTAACATTTTACATATGTTTAGATTTGTAAGTCTTTATATGACAGAAATAAATAGAAAGTGTTTGAATAAATAAAGAAAATTTATTGAGTTTGAAGCAATGTTTCATTTCCCCTGCCCCCCCCCCCCCCCCACACATTTTCTTTCCTTCTTCAGTTTCAAGTCCTTATATTTTCCTCCCTATTTTCTTTTACTAGCATCTTATGAATTCAGAAAGGGACCCATGCAAACATACTAACAACTATCACGTCAAATAACAACTATTAAGCACATTCAGAAATTTGCACCATTGTGCACCAGGGATAAAAGCATATGGACTTACTCAACAGCACGTGCTATGCCTAAAGCAATTCTAACTCTTGTGTTCCAGGTAAGTGGTTTGCTGAAGTCATCTGACAAGTGAAGGAATTCATGAAGAGAACCATTCCTGAAATAGTCATATACCAGCATGTTTTGTCCCTGTTCTGAACAGTAACCAATGACTTCAGCAATATTTGGATGGCGTAGCTTGGAGATGTTTGCAACAATTTCTGGAAAATCTGCTCCCCTATCACCTCTAAAATGTGAAGAGTCTATCTTCTTGACTGCCAGAACCTGACAGGGCAAAAAGGTATTGTTGTTGTTGTACCTGATTTGATCTATCGACCATACACTATTACTCAATTTTTTCATGATCTTTCTTTTGTAGTCAATTAGGTCCTCATATGCAATTCAGGCTATACAGACTACAGTATTACTCAATTTGTTCACCATATATCTTTTGTACTGAGTTAGGTCCTTGAATATGCAATTCAGGTTCACTTTAGGTCTTATGTATGCGCTAGTTAAGAAGGACATTTATGTGTACTTAGGACTACATTAGGTCCAAATTACTCAATTGAAGGCAAAACTGAGACAGAAATTGGGTCTAAATTCAGTGAATGAAAAAAATACCCTTCTTAATTAGAACCAAATATGTATAGTTAAGGACTAAATTTAGCCCAAAGTTCATAGTGAAGGACAAAATGTAGTCCAACAGAAAGCTGAGTACCAAATAGAGTGGCAGTTTATATTCAGAAGACTAAGGGAGTGTTTGCAATTGCTTCAACTTTAAAAAAGTGATTTTTTAAAGTGATTTTGGGAAAAGTGATTAATAGTAAAAGTTGGTAGTGTTTGAGAAAAAAGTGATTCTGGAAAAGTAAAAGTTGGTAGTGTTTGGTAAAATAAGTACTTTTTGTGTAATAGAAAAAGTGAGAAGCAGTTTAAAGCACCCTTCTACCCTTCTACCTGCTTCCAGCTTTTAGCTTTTAAGTGATTAATTTAAGCAGAAGCTGTCATTTGAAAACACTCTTTTCAACTTTTTTTAAGCCAAAAGCTGAAAGTGCTTTTTTTAAGCAAACCCAAACACTCCTTAAATCAGGTATAAATCTCATTACAATTATTTTATTATTATTTTACTTCTTCACTTTTTGTAATTAGAAAGTACTTGCATACATCAATTCATCAGCATCATCTCACCCTGCTATCAGAATATATGATTATTGACACATTAAGAAGTATTCATACAAAAGAAATTGAGTCAACATGAATGTGGATATGGCCACAAAACATCATTGCAATCCTAGCAAAAAAAGTTAAAATACTGCAACATCCACGAAGACACCCCAATGGAATTCAGAACATCTGTAAATTTGGGGGGTGCAATTAAAGAAATTCACCCCGGCATGGACCGCGAAGCCCAATTATATATTTTTAAAACAAGAATATTCATCAGTTTCTGATGTTTTGAGGTGATGTCATCAATGCAGCAGCTACATTTCTTTCAGACTTTATTTTCCTAATAATTGTTAATGATAAAATAGATTATTAGGTCGGGGTCACTGAGTCACTCAATTGGGTAATAACTCACTTGGGTCAAATGACAATAAAATTGAATACAATCGATTAGATAGTCTATCCTGAGGCATTATAAATTCATATGTTCTCCTCTTTAGTGTGGGACTCTTGTAAGTTAACACGTTACATGAATATACAGATATAATAGTTGACATGGCAATGATGGCATAGTTATTGAATTTGTAAAGCCCATTTAGAAAAAAAGAAAAAAATTTGCTCCAAATAGGAGTAAAACATAGACAAAGTGCACAAATAGGGTACCTATGTTTTATTCCTAAAATACTTATTTGGTTCAATTAAAAGCATTAAACTACTCTAATTAGGAGTGAATGAGTCCTATTTTAGGAAAAACAATGGTGACCCTATTTGTGCACTTTGTCTATGTTTTACTCCTATTTAAGGAATTTTTCAATAAGGAATTGGGTTGAGGAAGAGAAGAAGTAAGCAGACATACCCTCCCATCTCGATACTTTGCCCTGTATACTCTACCAATTGATCCCTCTCCAAGAAGACGACCAGTTGCAAAATTACCGGTCACGCTCTGCAGATCTGCCAAAGAATAATAAGAGGCCTGAACTGAACCACCTAATTCCACGTTTAAATGGTCAGGAACCTCCTTGCTGTTGAAAGACTTGACATGATCTGAATACTTATGACTCATAGAAGCAGACATTTGAGAAGTTTTTACTGATATTGTGGATGAGGAGCCCGAGGACCTAATTTCTGTCACAAAATCCTTCACGTATTAGCAAAAACAGCAATGCTACAATGTGAAAGTGAGTCAAAGATTTAAGTCAATATCTCAATGAGGCTGGCGCTGTAATTTATACATTTTGTACTTTTATTAGAATATTCCTAGTAAAGAAGCTTTTTACCTCTATGTATTAAATCGTGTTGTATAAAAAAATACTCCGTATCACTGGGAAAGGATCACCTTTAACCAAAAAGTCAAATATGAACTTTCTTTGTTAGAGTGTAGTAATAAAACTCACTACATTCATTTAGCCATATTATCAATAAAAATGTTTAGCAAAATTTGTACCTCTTCTGGATTTTTACATAAAATATATCATGGAACTCATCTGTTATTCATTCCTTGGTTGTTAAATGCCTTTACTCTTTTTACCGACTTTACCAACAAGACCAGTCACAAACCTCTAGCTCTCCCCCTCAATCCCTCTCTTTCTGTATTCATGATGCTAACATTATACATATTTTCCCGAATTACTTTCCTTCTTTTTCAAGATATTGATTATCTTAATTCTACTGCACAAATAAGGGGGGGGGGGGATATTCCAAAGAGAATAAGAAACTACCTCTGAATCCCTTGTGCATATCAGGGAACATGTCAATGGATAGCTCCTGAGATGCAAGTGGGGAAATGGGCCTCTGTTGGCTAAGCTTATCATCTTCAAAATAGTGTATTGAAGTTGATGATGATCGTTTAGAAATCAGAGCAATTATAATGCTAATTAGCAACAAAACACCCATTATTATCCCAGCAACTGCCATTCCACTCAACCCGGATTTCATGTTCTCCTCCGATTTCTTGTGAGACTCCTGCCCAGGAGGTGGAGGAGGAGCTGGACCAGAAGACCAAGAATTCCCTCCAGTCCTTAAGATAATAAGTTCAAATTCATCATCATGTGAGGGCAAGAATGCAAGTCAGATTAGTTCATTGGGGGTAAATCATTTACTCACTCTATATTATTGATGTTTTTCAACTCATCCGGAATCCATCCTGTGAAGTGGTTGTTTCCTACATTCCTGCCAGTGTATCACTTTCTATATTAGTCGCCTATTCACATAAAGAGCATCATATTTCTTTGATAACTTTTGACAACCCACCCATAAACATGTACAATAATTAGGGGCATATATTTCCATACCCTTGACCTATAAATTTTTATTCTTCTGTACTTTTTGGGATGTAGCATTTAAATGGTCAAAGTAAGCAAAATGTTCATAATAATATCATGGTCCAAAATGTATACCGTTGGTAACCTGATTTGGCTTAATCTAGCTCTGCTAATCACCAGAATAATCTAAATAAACAGCTTTGGACTTACTTATTTTGCCTAAGCAGATGTTACCAAACGGTTTTCATTTCATAAAGTTTAGTAGATTAGGCCATTTAAGTGGTTCAGCCAAATAACCCTTACGAGATGGGCTCACAATATCCATATCTTATAACAGAACTATGATTATCAGTTAACTTACAGATCTTGAAGAGGGAGTTCAGCAAGAACATTTATTGATCCGGTAAATTTGTTATTTTGTAAAGACCTGTTGAGGACATGAAACATTAAAACAAAAATCACTGACATGAATCTCTTGATCTCCCGCCAGAAACATGACAAACAATACTTGCATCTTACAATACGTTGAGACTTGAGAGGGACTTAAAGCTCTGCGGCAGAGCACCAGACAATGAATTGAAGGAGAGATCCCTGGATTCATTCTCACTATTTAGTTCAGTCTTAAATATTCGAGTGAATACCTCAATTAGTCCTTCCACTATACACTGTTACTCAATCTGGCCCTTAACTTAGGCTCCAAATAAGAAAGTTATTTTAGTCTGTCCAATAATCTTAAACCCAATTTCGGACTTCGTTTGGCTCCAAACCATGTAATTTGGACCCATTTCAGTCATAACTCATTAGTGTACTCTTCTAATCTAGAGCAAAATATGCAGGGAGATTAAAATTAGTCTAAATTGCAGTCAAGGACTAAAATGAAGACCACATTGAGTAATACTGTATAGTTGATGGACTGAATCAGGTATTACCTATAAATATTAAGGAGTATGTTATTATGATATATAAACAAAAGAAGCTAGTTTCAGGTTTTCTACCTTTACAGAAAGAGTAACAATATTAAATAAATACGTACTAATAAATAAATAAATAAATAAATAAATAAATAAATAAATAAATAAATAAATAAATAAATAAATAAATAAATAAATAAATAAATAAATAAATAAATAAATAAATAAATAAATAAATAAATAAATAAATAAATAAATAAATAAATAAATAAATAAATAAATAAATAAATAAATAAATAAATAAATAAATAAATAAAGTGATGGTAAAATTGCACTACAGATGTTGGTAGCACTTACATCTCGGTGAGTTTGGTAAGTTGTGTAAACATGTCAGACAATGATCCACTCAGCTTATTATGATCGAGATGTCTGTAAAAGGTCACATATATTTATTCATGTCAGAAGCTTAAACCATTAATACCAAATCCTCAATTAATAAAACTAAAAACTAAGGGAAGGGGGGCTGAAAAAATGCACCTACAAGTATGTGAGGCCAGACATCTGAGAAATTGAATAAGGGACACTTCCTGTGAATTTATTGCTTGAGAGGTCTCTGCATACAAAGTTTATACACAAAATTTCACAATAGTATACTGCAGATATTTATAACCATACACAGGAAGTAATAAACTCCGCCATGGGATCAATTTTTTTGGTTTCATGCCTGTCCCAAGCCAGGATAAAGGAGGAGGGTGCTGTGGTAGGCGCGTGACGGCCAACAGTATTACCTAGTCACATCACATGACATGAATCGAAATATGAATATCGCTATAGCTAGGTCGTCGCCCGTAAGCGACGCGTCATCCCTCCGCCTGGGGGTGGTGTCAAATATGCAAGGGCGCGCTACACTTCATAGGCCTGGGTGTGGTGATAAGAATGTTAAGGTTGCTAGGTCGTCGCCCGGAAGCGGCGCGTCATCCCATTGCCCGAGGATGATGTCAAATATGCAAGGGCGTGGTGGGGTCCGAGGCGGGGCTAAGAACAGAAGGTGGAGTGCTAGATTGCGCTTTGGGACGTGGAATGTTGGGTCTCTTACAGGCAGATCTTCCGAGGTAGTCGAAGTTATGAGGAGGAGGAATATCGGCATTATGTGTGTGCAAGAAACTAAATGGGTTGGAGAGAAAGCACGTGAGATTAATCCCGGAGGTTTTAAGTTGTGGTATTCGGGGAGAGATAAGACCAAGAATGGGGTAGGCATTATTGTGGCACGTGATTATGTTGAGGATGTGGTAGAAGTCTTCAGGAAGAACGATCGCATCATGAGCATTAAATTGGTGATGAGGGGTGAGATTGTGTCTGTGGTAAGTGCCTATGCACCACAAGTGGGATTGGATGCATCTACAACTCAACAGTTCTGGGAAGATCTTGAAGATGTGGTGCGACGAGTGCCAAGAGGAGAGAAGTTGGTCATAGGAGGCGACCTCAACGGGCATGTGGGCTCGATTCGTGATGGCTTTGAGAGTATTCATGGCGGACATGGTTTTGGCACTAGAAATGAAGCGGGAAAGAACATTTTGGATTTTGCCTCGACGTATGAGTTGGCTATAATGAACACTTGGTTTAGGAAAAGAGACTCTCACCTTGTAACCTATAGAAGTGGAGCTAATAGTACCCAAATTGACTACTTCTTAGTACGTACTACTTGGAGAACTAGCTACACCGATTGTAAGGTTATCCCAGGTGAGAGTGTTGTCACTCAGCATAGGATGCTTGTGCTCGACTTTCGAGGTAAGAACCATAGAAGACAAGTTAAGCAACAAGTGGAGCCAAAGATAAAGTGGTGGAGGCTTGAGGGGGATCTTCAACAAAGCTTTACACACAAAATGTTCGGTGAAGATGTATGGCGTATTGATAATGGAACACAGGTGGAGGATGCGTGGTTATCGATGGAGCTGACCATTAACAAAGTGGCAAAGGAGGTACTTGGGGAATCTAAAGGATGTTTGCCACCCAAAAAGGACACGTCTTGGTGGAATGATGAGGTGAAACAAGCCATAAGGAACAAAAGAGATTGCTACAAAAAGTTGGGGATAAGTCGGAGTGATGAGAACATAGAAGCTTACAAGGAGGCTAGAAGACAAGCAAAGAAAGCCGTAAAAGAAGCACAAGGGAAAGTGAACAAGGAGTTGTATGAAAAATTGGACTCTAAGGAAGGAGAACAAGAGATCTATAGACTTGCTCGTCTTCGTGATCGCAGGACTCAAGATATCGGAAAAGTTAAGTGTGTGAAGGATGTTGATCAAAGGATATTAATGGAGGACAGAGATAAAAGAGAGGTGGAGATCATACTTTGATACATTGTTCAACGGGAACAAAGTGCAAGATATCGATGATTTGACCATACCAGATTGTATGGTAAATCGTGATTTTTTGAGAAGGATCCAACCAACAGAAGTTAAAGAGGCTTTGAGGAAGATGGGGCGGAAGAAAGCAGTGGGTCCAGATGGCATACCGATCGAGGCTTGGAGAAGTTTGGGAGAGAGGGGCATCGAGTGGTTAACAAATTTCTTCAACAAAATTTGGAGAAACAACAAGATGCCAACGAGTTGGAGAAAGAGTACTCTTATTCCCTTATTTAAGAATAAAGGTGATGTACAAGAATGTGCCAACTATCGGGGGATTAAGCTTATGAGTCATACCATGAAACTTTGGGAGCGATTGATTGAGCAAAGACTTCGAAGAACGGTGAAGATCTCAGAGAATCAATTTGGTTTTATGCCTGGTCGCTCAACAACTGAGGCTATTCACCTTCTTCGGCAACTTATGGAGAAGTATAGAGACGCTCACAAGGATTTGCATTTAGTGTTCATTGACCTAGAAAAGGCATATGATAGGGTACCTCGAGAAGTTCTTTGGTGGGCCTTAACTAGAAAAGGCATTTCACGCAAGTATATCAGCATCATCATGGATATGTATGAGGATTGTACTACAAGTGTCCGTACTAGTGTAGGGAGGACTGCGGAGTTCCCTATTACTATCGGAGTGCACCAAGGATCGGCTCTTAGCCCTTTTTTATTTGCCATAGTCATGGATGAACTTACAAAGTCAATTCAAGACGATATACCGTGGTGCATGATGTTTGCCGACGATATTGTATTGATTGATGAGACGCAATCAGGGGTTAAAGCAAAGTTGGAAGTATGGCGACAGACATTGGAGAACAAGGGTTTCAGACTAAGTAGGAGCAAGACAGAGTACATGGAGTGCAAGTTTGGTGGAGGTAGAAGCAGTGGTAATAGCGGAATTACTTTAGATGGTAAGGAGATACCAGTCAGCGATATGTTCCGTTATTTGGGCTCCATAATTCAGAAGGACGGTGAGTTAGATGGAGATGTATCCCATAGAATCAGAACAGGGTGGATGAAGTGGAAGAGTGCGTCAGGATTTCTATGCGATCGAGGTATGCCGACTAGACTGAAGGGTAAATTTTATAGGACAACAATTAGGCCGGCATTACTGTATGGCACGGAGTGTTGGGCGGTGAAACAATGTCACATTCAAAAGATGATTGTGGCAGAGATGCGCATGCTGCGTTGGATGTGTGGGCATACTAGAAAGGACCGCGTGAGGAATGAGACAATTAGACAAAGGGTGGGAGTAACACCTATTGAAGATAAGATGCGGGAGTCACGCCTACGGTGGTTTGGTCATGTGCATAGAAGACCGAGTGATGCACCTGTCAGACGAGTTGAGATGTGTGGAGAAGAGGTAGGGAAGAGAGGGAGAGGAAGGCCCAAACAGACGTGGGTTAGGGGAGTCAAAACTGATATGCTTCTTCTTGGATTGGATGAAGGTATGGCTTTGGAGAGAGCAAAATGGAGGGCGGGTATTCGTGTTGAGGAGTGATCTTGTATCATCTTTTTTTTTTCTTCTTCTTCTTCCTCTTTTTTTTTTCTTTTTCTTTTATATCTTTATCCTTATATATAAATATTACTTTATCCTTTTTATTTGATCTTTTATATGTATATTCATCTCTTTTATATTATCTTTTTTTTATAATAGCTTATCTTTTTTATCTTTATTTTCTTTCTTTTCCTTTTGGTGATAATGTGATATCATATATCGATTCATGTTAGCCAACCCCATTATCGTTTGGGACTAAGGCTTGGATGTTGTTGTTGTTGTTCTTGTACACAGGAAGTAATACTGATCATAATATCTACATCATGACATCATTCATATGAACTTATGCCTTAACACAATGAAACCAACACAAGGATAAGGTACACCAATAAGTGTTCATATCATAGATTCTAATACAGACTCTCATATTCCAAGAGTTTAGATCCTTAATACCACACCAAATGATTATCATAAAACATAATAACATGAGAACAACATACACCCTTAGGCTGTGTTTGGGGACTGGAAAATGATAGGGAAAAGTAAGAAAGTGCAAATAAAAAACACTTTAATATGTTTGGTTTTGACTTTGAAATTATAAAAAAAAAAACTGATTACTTTCTACATGTTGAGATTTATTTTTCTTCAGATAAAACCAAGTGTCAAGGAGTAAGGACTGGGGTAAGAGAGCCAGAGAGCCTGAGAGGTAGGAAAAAGCTAAAATATCCCCACATCACCCCTCAAGTTAGACCTGTCTGTGGTTTTCAGCTAAACCAGAACCGCCCGTTTTAAAGCAGGAACTTCCGGTTTTGGAACAGAAACTGCAAATTAGCCCCCATTCGAAAACGCAAAGTAGCTTCGGTTAGAAACCATCAGCTTACTAAAATCAATTCTGATTCAATTTTCGTTGCTAGAAATGTCTGATATTATCATGTTATTATGATTTATGGTGGTCATTTGGTGTACCTTATCCTTTTAGCTCCCATTTGAACCGGAATCCTACACCATCATTTCAAGAGTACTATGGTTAAATGTTATCATTTCCCTGAAGTCCTGAACCATTCTCTAACACTCTCCCTACCCCCAACTTCTAAATATGAACGAAGACTTAAGATTGGTTTATTTACTTTGCATCAAATTTTAATTTTACCCTTTTTGAGTTTTTTCCTCCCAAATTGCCTCTATATTTTCTTACCCTAGCGTTTCCAGTTTCCAAGTGATCTTTAATCAACAGAAGAGATAAAAAAACCAGTATTTAATGGTGTTTGAGCTGAAATATTCTTTTGGAAATGGTGATTATGTAAGAAAGGCTGTAGCATCTAGAAACATACTAAACTTATTTCTTTCATTGTCATACTGTGCATTGGGATCTATTTAGTAAGAAAATTCAAATGTTATTTGTACAAGAACTTACAAGTGTTGCAGTTTCGGAGGAAGCTGATATGGTACAGTGTCCTTCAGTTTGTTTTTGCTCACATCACTGTACTATGACATATAAATTCACATTGTCAGATCCAATGGTTTAAATACAAAAACATAAAAATAACAAAAAAAAAAACATTTCCCCAATAGGTGTGGAGGCCTCACAAGTAGGTAACTTTGTCCAACTTATCAAGCTCATAGCCCAATGATCCAGAGATATCCATCTCAGATAAATCACTGCAATCATTTTCAAACATAAGCACTGTCAGATAACTCTCTGACAACTCTAAGCCATGTTTGTTGGGGTGTTCGCCTAACTCCATTAGTTTCAGCTTTTTATCCTAAATCGGACACTGTCATTCTAATAAGGAGTTAAATGAGGTGTGTGACCCTAAGAATGTGCACAGATCAACTTTGCCCCATTTTCTTCACTTTCCCCCTGTTTGTCCACTTTTCTAAATTTACTGTGTTGCATGAGAAAATAAATATCCATGTAAAAAGAAACAAGAACGGAAGAGTTACATTTCTGTTATATCTGATCCTGAACATGATATACCCTTCCAAGAATCCCCACAAGGATCCCCGCCATTTTCCATCCATGCATCCAGGTTCTCTCTAGATGAAGAATCCAAGCTCTGGTATAGCACATTGAGGGCAGAAACTGCATAATAAGAACATCAAAGTATTTTGTATCAAAACATTTCGAATGTAGCACTAATCAACAATATTTTTTCCTAATGAAATGAAAACTGGTTTTTTAAAGTAATAGCCAAGTTAAGATGCATTGGGAGAGAGGGTGCCCCAAATGGCATTGTCAATGGACATTGAGGGTTACCATGTTTAGAATTCGTTTCAGATAGGACCAATGGAAGGTAGAAGGAGCTCACGATTAGGGTAACCCCAAAAATCAAGTTCCTCCCCCATGTCTTCTTCATCATAATTTTCTGACGACCCGTATAATTGATTTTTACAATAGAACCTAATAGACTGCGTAAATAATGAACGAATCATTTGGTGTAAGAGATAGGAACGAAATCAGCAACGTATCACTCATTGGAATTACTAATCATCCCCATTGAGCCCTGGAATTAGGGCTGATAGTGAGTTCGTGATTTGTTCAGTGAATGAAGAAATGATTTCGGGGAGCACTTTTAGATAATTTATCAAAAACAAAAATAAAAGGAGTGAAAATAGAAAGAAGGGGGGAATTTGGGGGAAATGGAGAAAAACCACGAAAATTGCTATTTGGATGAAGATAACGATGGAAACGCAGCCGTCACGGCGGCGATGTGAAGAACGGTGGCCCCTGAAGTGCGGAGGCATCGGTGATAGAACAGGATTGGAGGCGGTGCACCATTTGAAAGCGCCCATTATTTCCTGCTTCGAATTTTCTTCCCTTCCCGTCTTCTTCCGGCTTCTTCGCGCCACCACAAAGGCAGGTTAGTTAGTTTGTTAGTCCGTTTACTCGCGAATTGGGATTTGGAAAATTTTATAGTGCATATGCTTTAGGGGATGTTTTATAGTGCATATGCTTTAGGGGATGTTTTGGTGCATTCCATATTTGTCAGTATTTCATTGGTAGTTCAATCCACCTCATCAGTTTTATAATTAAAAATACTTCGTACGTTTTTTTGCACAGAGGTCCTTCCCTGGTCTTTTACGTTTTACGTTGAAAGAAAAATCCAACTTCTGAGTTATCGTTTGACTGCGAGAGACATCTGAGGCGAAGAAACCAGGGGGGAGAGGGCCGGAGGAATGAAAATCCGGCATCTCAATCCAAGGTAGGTTCATCATCTCTATTTTGTTGTTGTGCGTATTCACCACCTTTAAATACAGATACATATTCAATTTCTTTGTCTTGAAGGTTAATGTTACTTCCTCCATTATCATTCATCTCCTCTTCCATTAAGTTTTCCGATTTGTATTTGAAAAGTACCACCAAATTAGGGTTTTGATGTTACTTCGTAACCCAACCATATCCCTTTAGGTGCACTTTTATTTGGGTTTTGGCCTGCAATTGAAGTGTTACTCGCTTGTTTAACGATCCCAAACGGATAATGCCCCCTCATATCCATTGTACACTAATTATTTTAATGATGTCCTGATCATCCTAGGCAAATAAAAGTTCTGAATGTTGAAGGTGAAAGTCTTTCAACAAACTGGAGTTCCTCTTACCTTTCTCATTTGCCTCAGCCACATACATGGGAAGGGGAACAACCAAAATCAATCACTAAATATCCTCCTGACCACTAACTTATATGATAGTATAAGGTTAAAGTTCATCTTATATTATAATGGCAATAATTATAATGTTTTTATTATAGTAGAGAAAAGAGGCGAATGGTTTTTTATGTCCACACATTAAAAAATACCATGTGTATCATTCTTATGAGTGTATGAGTTCCTGCATGTTCTTTTGGCAGGGGACCAAGAGGTGGCGGTGAATTTATCACTTTTGGTGCTTTTATTGTAACACCACTCATCTTCTGGCATATGTTGCGGCCTGCGTGTTACATTGACTTCCTTTGAGATAAAACTTAATATACAATAAAATAAAGGCATTTCTAAAAATCTGTATTACTTGCTATATATGCTTGAAATGGTTTCTTAATTGTGCAACAGTTCAATTGATTTTAGCTTGCCTTAGCCCCCCATCAAATGCAGGCACACAAAATTCCATTGCCTTGTTCTGATGACATGTCTATTTCCTTTTCTTTTGGTCAGAAGATTTTGGAGGAGAGGTGGTGAGGGGATGATTGGTTTTTTTTACTAATTTATCTCTATTCGTAAATCATGTATTTCTTCAACTTTTTCATCTTCACTATCTTCCTGACCATCTAAATGTGAGAATAATTTAATAAAAAAATCACTCACCCCTTAATCAATCACCCACTCACCCCTGAAGTCTCCCCACCAAAGAGGGCTTATATAGGGGGTGGGGGAAATTTAATTATCTCTTCGCTTTGGAATGAAATGAGAAATGAAATAAAACTCCCATCTTGTATTGGCGTTGGACTTTAATGTTGATTGGTTGCTCTATTCTCCACTGCAAAGTTAGTGTGTTGGTCATGGAAAGTTTAACTGTGGCAGGAGTATGAAGATAAAGTGAAAGAAAAGGGTGAAGCACCAGTTATGTTCAGGTTAAGAAGCCATTTTCTTGTAATTTATATAATGTGAATTTGTGATAAGGGCAGTATTACATTTCTTTGAGCTTTTTTGTTGGTGTGAAGAAATCTTTTTCTCATTTCTATGCCGCAGCCATTTAGGACCTCCACCTCGAAGGCGGACTGCATAAGAGGAAGATATGGTCAAGCACCCAAAACTTGAAGTAAGACCTTACTTATGTCCCATACATGTCTCTGACTTGAGAATAAAGTGTTCTCCATTCACTTTTTTGCAATGAAGTCTGAGAAGAATGAAATACTGGTGCCAAATGACCACCAAAAGGAAAGAGATGGCGAAAGTAGTTCTTCAGGAAGTAAAGCCTCTTCAATTGAGGAGTTGAAAGCCTTCATTACTTCACCTATGAAAAAACTGATTTAGAAAGTATTAAGATGGTTGTTCATTCTGAAGCAGAAAAACATGCTATTTTGGATGAGAATGTGTCATATACGTATAATGGTTTTTGTTGCTGCTGTTATGGTAAAGAAAATGTAATAGATCGGGCGAGTATTTGATAAATGCAGCGCTTATTCTATATTAAGTTGGTATTGTACCATTGAATGCATCTACTGTTTTTTGTCAATCAAAGTGTGTTTGCAATGAGGCTTTAAGATTTAGTGTTGCTGGTTTTTTATGTGTGCTTTTTGTTCATCTTGTTCTGATTTTGTTAATGTTTCTGGTAATTAAAGAAAAACACTTCTTGCCTCCAATATTACAAAAGGGTTTGAAGACACTTATAGTAGGGTTGGTCCTGATATAAGCAGCCTCACCATAAGCACAAAAAAGGGTGAATGACCCTGAAATAGAACTCAACTCTTCATTAATGTAATGTTAAATTGATAGTTTACATGCAAAAATTTAGCTCTTAACTAATGAGCTGCAAAAAAAAACCTTCACAAACAACAAAATATCCCTTCCAAGATCAAAAACTACAACTAGCTCAAAATGCCCATCAATACTACCCAACTTATCACGAGCTATCTTCTCAATTTTTCTTTTCATCCCTTCGATTATTTTGTTCCTATCCTTTGCACTCCCATGCTTGACACAAAGAATTGCAATCCTGGATCCATCCCCGGTGTGTATCATCCATACAAGATCTGCGCTTGATAATGGCTGGATTACATCAGCACCAGAAGACTGATTAGCAATGCTTAGAAACTCCACAATTGCCTTGTGTATGATAGAGTGATCGAGAATTCTCCTCTCTAGTATAGGCTCAAGAACATATTTCATGTGACGTAAGACTGATGATTTTTGTAGATGTAGCTAGGAAATGACATCTGCAACACTGGCCACATTCCCTGAGACCAAATTCTTGAAAATCCGGAGTTCAGGTGAATATAGTTCCATCAGAAAAGCTTGTTTCTGAGCTATACTCCTGAATTTATATGCATGCTCATTAACAAGCGAAACAACCATATGTCCATATGACGAAGAAGAGAGGCGACATGCCCATGAAGAGATGACATAGAGTCTGCCATTTGTTTTTTCAATGCATTATCTAACATCCTTGTCACCAAATGGACAACATAAGTGTTACAGGAAAGGGTTATAAAAGGCTGATATGATATAACGGTATCTATTAAATAAAAGGCTGAAATATTAGACTAGTTTCTTAGTTTCTTGTAACTCCAAAGTAAGTGAGAGTAATAATTCACAACTCAAATTGTATGTAGAGGGATTGGTTTCATGAAGAAATCAATGTTTAAGAGCCAAAAAGTAGGTGGATACCACATATTATCGACTAAATTATTAGTAGAGAGATCAGCTTTATGAAGATATCAATGCTTACTCTACCCGAAAATAGGTATAAAATATTTTCTTAATATAAATTAGTAAAGAATCAAATCTCTTCTCTGTTTAGCATTGCATATCTCCACACGCAGAATCAAATATAAATAGATAGGGGGATATGAAATGGAAATAAAATAGGAACAAAATCCCTTACATTTCACTATCAAATGTCTTATGTTCCTAATTACAATAGAAATCTGGTGAAGGAATCCCTTCTGTACTGTGAGGGCACCAATAACCCTAAGTAGCAATAGAAATAAGAATAACATTATAACAAGAGGGGGTTCAATTCAAGGGCAATCAAAATTTGTAGGAAAATTATTAGATTTGGAGGAATGAAAAAGGTCCACAATTGCAATACAAATTTGGTGAAGAAATCCATTCAGTCTAATAACCTTAAGTGGCAAAAAAATGAAGAATAACAAAAGGGGATTCAATTCAGTGAAGGTAGGTTGTGAACTAAATGAGAGGGAACAATGAAAAAAATTTACCTCAGTGACAGAAACGGATTGGGATAAGATTACTGTCAGTGCTGCGATGGAGTGCACTACGAGATCTGGATGAATCGAAAGAGAGAATAGGCACGATGAAGACGAAAGACATACTAAGCAGCACACGGCTGAAGAGAGAAGGAAACTTATCTTTTCAGACAGCACATCGACCGACCATAACTGGTCCATATTCATCCGACGTTGATCGATTCTGGAACCGTGCAAAAAGAAAGTCTTTATACGCTCACGTGCTTGGAGTTTCGTTGGAATTTTGATCTGCCATGGCCATGCATGTTTGCTCTGTAGAAGTGAAGACGGAAAATGATATAAGAGCGATAGGAGGCTGTGCTCTGAAAAGGGAAAAAGTGTTTACTATTAATGTTCCATTTTACGCAGTATAAGGTTCACTATGCAATTTATAAAGTGAATACACATATGTTTAAAAAATAGATGAGCTGGACCAATGAGATAATGCCAACTATGGAATGCACCAAAACATTCCATAACATTGATGCACCGAAGAGCTACCCTTGGGATTTAATTACTCGCGAACATTTTATATACATTTAATTACTTACGTAAAAATATCAAATAAGTCCTTATATAGAAGGCTCTATCTGGCCGTCTACATTTCGGGTGGTTCAGAGCATCTCCAATGCTAAAACGTGAACAGTGCATACGTGGAATGAAAGGTAGCCAATTAAAAAATAAAAAAATAGAATATCTCTCTCCTTATATAAAGGATCTTGTTTCATTTTGGTAAGTTTTTCTTCACAATGTCTAGGTGTAGACATTGTGCTTGACATTGCAGAGGAAAACTAACCAAAAACAAATAAAACCGTGGAAAGAATGAGAGAGAAATGTCATAAATTCAATTTTTTGTGTCTATCTCTCTCATGCCACATGTGCACCGTGCACATTGTAGCATCGGAGATGCTCTCACGGTGGAACTTTTTGATGAAAATTTTTTAGCGTCTTATTCATTAAGTCTAGTTTATTCATACCCAATTTTAGCTAAAACTTCAATC